GATTTTATGTTTTTCTGTGCACCTCCCGCGTCATATTTCTACATCAGCTGAAGGTCGACGACGAAAGAGTGGCATGGCATGACATTAACTCTGCCTATGTACGACACGTGCAGTAGTATATAAATAAATCAATAAATAAGTACCTATTTTTCGTTACTTGAGACAGTTTTATCCAAATGAACTTACCAAGAATTCGTATATCTACCGTCGATATGTCCATCCAAAGATTACTGTAAGAGATCAGTCTGTAGCCGAGGTGTGAGACCACCATTTGTACATATTTATGTAATGTATTCTTGTAGAAAAATTGGCTGCACAATACAGTTTATTATATTCTATTCGAATATTACCTTTTATGCTAGCGGTCTGTTTCCCCAATCCAAAATATTTGCGTTCATTATACCATTGAAACGATTTCTTTGTATTAACAGTTATTCAAAAACAAAGCATCTTTTAAAATAAGACCGTACTTACATGATAGCAGAAGATTGCTGGCTATAAACTCTTCCTCCTCCTTCCATTGCTATGAAACGTTGGTGAACCAATGTATTCGTATACATTAATACACCAATATATTAGAGGAACTTGCTAGTCATCAAGATTGCTCAATCTAACATAATATTAAGTTAGTATCCTTTTCTTAACATTATACTATGTATTATAAATGAAGTCGCTTTTCGTGCCTGTACGCTTCATCATCATCATCAACATCGGCCCATTCCCGATCCCGTTCAGCAGTCTCTTTCTGCAGCATTACAGCTTCACAGAAAGAGACCACTGCGCCTCATCCCTCCTCACCCACCCACATGGCAGCAATAATTGCTGGCGGGGACAGGTCTCGTCGAATTTGGCCGACCAGGATTTCGCTTTCAGACGCCTGGACTATAGACTGGAGAAGCGTATTTAAGTCTTGTAATAGGGGTCAACCTATCGCATCAACCGGGTTCTTTGAAATTCCTAGAGAAATTCCTGGAATATTTCCTGGGTTTCGGGGGACTTAGCAAAAATATTTATAATCAGTGATTACAATTGTAACCTAAGTCCACCTTACAAGATTTCTACACCATCCAAAACATTAAGGCCCAGGGCATTAAGTCCGCCAAGTGAATTACACTTATACAATAAACATTTATTTTTTATTTTAGAACATAAATATCAAAATTTGGGTAACCATTTTTACTTAACTTGGAACATTTAGTCAAAATGGCGTCTGCCAAAATTTAATGTTGTTACGAGTATTTTTCTTTGAAAAATGTTTTACAAAAAAATATTGGAATAAACGTAATACTTACACGTGGAATGTTGTGTTACAATTTTTGTTAAGGTTTTTCGATGTACTGTCGCATCTGTTAATTGCACGAACTGTCATTTTGTACTAAAATTAGGAGAGCTATTCGCACTACAATTTGACCTTGACTGACGCCTGCCGTTCGTCCGCTATGCCAAAATGGCATATTTTTACTTGCCTCACTTTTCGTGCGTGTTCTCGGTTTCTATGCGTTATTATTTTAAGGTTTTAAATAAATAAATAACCGCTATAATACTACGCTATCCGTGCAGTCGGTATATTGGACGGGATATGCAAAGAGGGCAGGCAATGTTAAAATAAGAATTAACTATTTAGTATATTGTTTATAAGAATGGAACGGATTATTACTGGCCCCATTATTACTGGCAACAATGGCCCAAAAGCAGCAGATTAAAGTCTTATACTTGTAACGCCAACCCGCTGTTAGAAGGTCGTAACCCTTTACCAATGGAATAACTAACCGCCTTTAAAGTAGACTAACACTATTTAATCTTTAGTAACACCTAGTTAGACTTATAATAGTAATAACAATAATCCATTTATTTGCATTGGATGTGGTACAAAAGATGTCAAGGAAGGTATTTGGGGAATTGCATATTTTGCTCTATTTCAGTAACAAATATTTTAATTTCATCTATACAAATAAATAAAATTGAAGTGTCTGTTTATAATGTCAAAATAATAGGTGTTTTTATGCTCACACGGTTTTTTGCACGATATCTATGCCTAAAAACCAGTTTAAATATTTTTTATATTACTGTTTGTATAAAATAAATGAAGTCACTTGAGTTATTGCGTCCATAACTTACAACAAATATATTTTTTCAAATTCATTTTACAAAGTTAATCTTAAACTTATCTCTGCCAATTGTTCTGTAATTCAATTTTCATAGTATATGTACTATTTTTAACTGTTTTCTAAGAAAAGTTTAACCCAAATAACTACATGAAAAATGATATATCCGTGTGGTGACGGATTAAGAATACAGAGTGTCACCACCCCTATTCATCCCATGGGTGTCGTAAGAGGCGACTAAGGAAGCAAACTACGCAGGTCAGCACTGCAGAGAGAAGGAAAACTTAAAACAAACCCTATACCAACCCGTCTGGCCAGCGTGGTATAGTAGACCAAAACCTCCTTTCTCAGGAGAGGTCTATGTCCAGCAGTGGACTAGTAAGGGCTGTTGATGAACTACATGAAAATGGAACTTAACAAAAATATATTAACACAAATAATTATCATCATCATTTTCCAACCATATTAACACAAATGTAATTACAGACATCTTAATCAACAACCAACCAATCTATATATATGCCGTAGAACTTCCGAGCCAATTCACTTACACACAATATACGGCGTTGGGTAAGCTCGACGTTAATAGGATGACGTGTTAATACTCAGACTCATTATGTGAGCAATATAAACCTATACTATACAATAATTTATTTACACACTGCATCAACACACTTTGCGTAATTCTTTTATCTTTTTAACCTTAAAACTTACTTTTATGAACTAAAGAAATGATGAGATCTAGTAAAAATGAATATTTTTGCCTAATCTCAGGAGAATTATGTCTTTCGAGTGTATGTGTGATTATATAATTCTTTGGTACGCTCTATAGGCCTATTTGTTTTTATTCACAATTGGTTCACCTATTATCGAGTCCCAGTTATATAACAAATCATTTTCTCAATAGTTCGAAAATTCTCCGCAATAAAAAATATGTATTAAAGTTAGATATTTTATTTAAGGATGTGTCTTGTTGACATTTTAGAATCCAAAATTAGATTGATAGATAAGTGGAAAACTCTTTATCTTTACACTTTTTTATAAAAACAATGTACTGTTGTATTATATACCTTATATTATATATATTGTGCACCTTAAAGCTTAGCTTCTAAACGCCACCCACGTTCATAACAGGCAGATGGGTATGTTGAGATTAATATCAAAATAAAGTTAATCAAGGACACACGCTTATTTAATAGTTAAACATCCTTTACAAACACCTATCGAAAAATTTAAGTGACCTTAAAATTAATATAATTTATTAAGCTGTTGACGATTGTATGTGATAGTGTCTAAAATAAACCTAGGGCTTATCTTTCAACATTATAAACGGCGTGAATGAAACTGAGATGTAATACATTGCCACTTGGTATCTTTCAGAGCTGCTCTGTTCGATCATAAAGTAATCTGGTACTCAACATCAAATTAAAATATTGTGCCAGGGTAAATATTCGACGCAGTAAACGTAAAAAAGGTTTACATATAGAGATAATCCTTGTTCCATACCAATTACTTTTACATCAGTCATGTAGTTAATCCCTTTATGCAGCAATCCAATATCAAAGAACAAAAATAACAAACAAGAAAATATCCTTTATCACGACAATCAGTGCTAAGAAAAGAAATAGTTTTGAAGTATACAATAAGTCATTAAAATCTTCCTCGTACTTGAAATAATGCACCTTGAGAAATAAGTAATTTGTTCTATTTCTAAAAGCATGTGCTCAAAAGGGCCGGCGTAGTAACCTTCTCAGATTGTTATCATAGTTTTCGAACGACACCCGGCAAACCTGATATGTGCAAGTGCACATGGTTGGCATCCACTCAAGTTTCTATTGTGTAACTTGCCAGTGCATCTTACAACTTGCATGCACACACAATGGAAACTCGCCTTTATTTTGAGACGACGGAACAGGCAGCGACTTTGAAGCGGATTATCGGGAATCTCATACGCCGTCAGTACATACTGTGTGCAATATATGCTTGCTGTACCTAAAACTACATAGGAGGCTGTACTGTACATCAGTTATATAGGACGTGACCGCCAGCTCGTTTCCCGGTAGTACATAAACCTGAGTATTGATTTTTACATTTTACATAGACGCCTATGTATTTACATACGTATGAACTGTCCGTAAAACGATGAGCTTCGGCACATTTTCATTTTTCGGATGCATTTAGGTGCGTTACGGTTATATTTGTGAATTCTGTTTTAACTCACTCTTTTTATCTTCACTTAAAACTCACTTACTATATTAACTGAATATTAACCTACTTTTACTGCCGTGTCGAACTTTATATTTAAATATAGGATAACAATACTGTGATTTTGCATCTAGACGCAGATCTAAGTATGTGATTTTGCATCTAGAAGTATATAGTTCAATGGATACTAGGGAATCTGTCGAGAATAGGCCAATTTGACGACGATCCGATTATAGAGCCAGACAATACTAATTTTTGGTTTCTTTTTAAAATGCTTTTTTATTCAGACCGCTAACAAAGCGCGCTTTTTAGTGTAACTGAAAAATTGTAAATAGTATGGACAGTACTTATTGATTTCCTGCAACGTTGCTAAAGGATACGCTATGTTTGTGTTTTTTCCTAATGTTACTTTAATGCGACGCAACACTGCAACCTGTAATACAGTTATACTAACAGTGCTGCTGAAACTATTACATCGATAAAGATTCAGTATTTTTATAAACAACCAACCCATTGTTTGTTTACTTTGATGCCGTGGTACAACATACTAAACTAGACAATAATTATTAATCGTAACTAACATGAATACCGAACAATGTATATGCACACTGTCCACATGGACTGACAGTACATTGATTACGGCTGTTAGACGTATCCATTGTATTGTTTACATAGGAGGCGATCTGGAGCTTAATTACACGACGTCGGCACCTTGAGACGGGGCATGTAGTAAAGGTTCAGGTGAGCGCGGCAGATGCGTCGCAGCTGCCGGCCGGGCTGGTCCAGTCGCCCCCGCGCGCACCCCTCAACCCCGCAACTCGCGCAATCGCGGCTAACAGTTTTATTTCCCCGAATAAACTTTATCAAACAAAGCGTGCGTGCCCCGCGCCCTGCATCTGCTCGCCCAGCTGTTCCCGGTGCAGCTGGCATTGTTTTCTCGCTCTAGCGCAAGCGCGAACCATAAGTAAGACAAGGACCGCTCTCGCCAGTGTAATCGTAGGGCCCTTCAATTCCCTGTGCATAGCCCATTCGCAGTTTGCATCCCGATGCCGGCGGGTAAACCAATAATGACGTCCAAACGAAAGCGCGACGAGAACGCCGAACGCAGAGTGAAGCGTCAACGTATTCGCAAACGATCGCGCAGCGAACCGTTAATGAATGATCCGGAGAGTGCTGAGAAGAGGCAGGCGCTGAAACGTCTGTTCGGACGCATTTGTTCCGTGGAGTTTGATGATACTCATAATCGCGCTTCAGAAGAAGAGGATAATTTCAACTTTCAGGATTTTGCCGACGAAAACGAAGATCCTCTGTTGGATTCAGTGCCAGTTGATATGGACCCTGAGCAGCTTGGGTTCCTGGTGTGCGCTCAGGAGACACTGCGCTTCTTGCACGGGCGTGGCATTCCGGTAGAACACCCGGTGTTCGCTCGTCTGCGCTCGCGCCTCTTGCAAGGGATCGACGAGATGGCGACCGCCTGAGTGTTACTGGGCCCGGAGCCCACCACCACAAGAAACTAAATGTCTTCGCACCTGTCCTTTGTTTCGGTCCACTTCACCCAGTGTTTGTGTTGAACCTGTGAATCCGTAACATTTCCTATTCGGTGTTGTAAACCTTTCTGTAGAGGGCTCGGGTATGAGACTAAAGACTTAAATTATGCGTTTTCAGTACGACATTGTACGTTTTCAGGCAACAGGTGGCCCGTCAGGGAGTCTAGTCATCACTTCTAGTCAAAACTTTATTGTGTTTGTTAAGCATATTACTCTATTGATGTATTAACGATGAAATAAATCGTACAATTGAAAGAGTGTTCATTTATTTTCTACCTGTTGTTGTAACCAGTATTTTTCTAGCCAAAAAAATATATTTATCGTTTGCTTTGAGTCGACTATTAGTTTCAGTAAGAAATAAATTTTAGAGGGAAAAGTCAAATAATTAATCTTTGCCGTTTATTAGAAAATAGTCGCATTTTTTAAAACCTAGTTTTGGTAGTAATATACTAGTACATTTTTTGTAATTATTATTTTTACTTATAGCTACAAATATAGCGTCACATCGCTCATGTTATATTTAATATTGCAATCGTAAAAAAAGTCTTACTTAAAATAGTATTTTTCTTTTTACCGATGTCTAAATTCAAGTCTATCTTTGTTGTTTTATAATACTTAATAAATAACAATTAAAAACCTCACTAGTAATCAGACTGGTGAAAACATACTTAGATATTTCTAAATACATACATATTATAGATAAATATCACCCAGGTAAAGCACAAATGATCGTGCTCTTCACACAATTATTTGTTCTTGGTGAGAATCGAACCACGACCTATCGCTTAGCAGGCATGGTCACTAACTGCTAGACCTAGGCTAGACCTGTAATGCAAATAACTATAGGCTACGAATACCACTTACCTTAGGCGGATTAACCAGACTGGAGTAACGCGTATAGTTACTAGTAGCGCTTGTATACCGCTTTAGTACAAGATGGAAGTTAGAACATACACGCTAACCTCTAAGCAAATTTTCGCATACATTTTATAACAAATAGCAAATACTTAGAACCTAGTCTTACCTCCCACGTGACATAAACAAACGCATCTTAAAAAAAATAACTCAATTTTTTAACGGTACTTAGTACTGTACTTAGTAACTAGAATATCCCTGGAATACCGCTCAAGTGAAAACTAATCATGCTCTCGCCTTACGCTTGCAGAGTTTCCATTTATGTAAAGTTTAGTTCGCGTTCAGGAGAACGTGGACTAACTAACACCTACTAAGTATAGTTGGGATAGATTCATTTAAACTTGTCAAGTCACTACTTTACCGAATGTAGAAGTTTTTTTTTTGGACTCTGTGCCCCAAATTGGGTGCGAATACATGCCATCCTAACTGTGATAGGGCTTTCCAGAGGAGAACAAGCTGAATAGTGAAATAGGAGTTGACACAAGCTAAAGAATGGCTGCGACATGATAGAAGAAGATTTGAAGAACGGTAATTTCTATAATAATTGTAGCAAAGGTACTTAAAGACGGAGCTCAGGTACGTAGCATAAGTGAGCGAATTAAGTATTGGGTATAGAGTGGATATTAAAATAAGTTTTAAATTAATAATATAAGGTTTTAGTCACATGAGTGTCTAGGTTCCCAACTAGTTTTATTCTTACCTTGTTTTCGTTTGATATACCTCATTTTCAACAACTGTGCTGTTATTGAAAGATACATGAGATTAATCTTGGTTGTAGACAACATAATATCATTCCACTTAGACAAAACGGTTATGTTTTTTTTATCACTAAATAAGAAACACGTAACGACGTATAAGCCATTTCATATGTTTTAGTAAAATTGTTCAAATGTCATTTATTTTTCTACTAGAATCGGCAAGTAAGAAATTCATTTACTGAATACAGTGGATTTCCTGCGAGTGCAAGTAAAAATGTATGGTGGCAAAAGTAGAAATTCGACTAGGAGAAGTTTTTTTAAGTTAGTGAGAAACAATATACTTAATGCCGAAGGTAGGTAAAAGAGCAAATTATGTAGGTATTAGTAGTGGGTAGGGTGATAGACAGAGATGATGGATAGACACCGGAATTATATAGATCTAGTCAGTTCTGTTCAACATAATCACTTCGTATTGGCTCTTATCGATATGACAAGCAGATCGCGTATTGCTACTGCCACTATAGAGACAAAATATAGTAACTGCATTATGATAACCAGACTATTTGATTGATATGACTTGACTTGACGACCGAATGGCGTAGAGGTTTGTGTAACGGACTGCTATTCCAAAGGACGCGGGTTCGATTCCCGCTCAAGTCAAACATTTGTGTGAACGAACATTTAATGTTTGATTTGGTCTGGGTATTTCTATGTATAATAAGTATGTATTTACAAAATAAAATAAAAAGTATAAATGTATTTCTATCAGTTGTCTAGTACTCATGGTACAAGCTCTGCTTAGTTTGGGACTAGATGGCGCTGTGTGAATGTGGTACAATATTATTATTATTATGTCATTTTATACCTTGTCTGGTCTCCCTTTTATTTTAAAGGGGTAACAAAATCTAACACACGGGCCTTAGCCAAGTGTGCCAAAAAGGGATGATGATATGAAGTTAAGATGATGAGGATGAAGCGAGAAATTTGCGTGTGAGACGGCATGTGTTAAGAAGGACTGCTTTTTTTTTTATTATTACTGATAAATATTCTCATATATATCATCTCATCTCTCTCTCTAAAAACATATATGTATATTGTAGATAAACGATGACGATACTGAGAACGAATTGTCGCGCTCATCACAGATATATTCGTCTTAGGTGGGAGGCCTAGTACCTTAAAAAAAAAAACAACTAAATCTGTAAAGAAATATAGAGGATTTAAGAATGAGTATTTAGTTGTACACCAGGTGTTTTTTTATTATTAATAAGAAATGCCTTAAGACATGGTGGAAACTTAACCAAGAAAAAACTTCGATTAATATTTGACTGTTAGGTATTAAAACTTCTTCTTCATACTCTACATATAAACCACAACAACATTAAACTTAACTTAACTTTAACGAAATGACTCGCAACAGATTTCGGCCCGAATAGAAGCTGTCTAATTGGTGCAGAAGCTCCAAGCTACAGATTCTTTTTTGTAAACATATACATTCACAAAAAAAGTGGCAGAACCTATTATTTAAATATTGGTAATGATAACCGTCTATAGGCTATCGTCTAGTTTGTTAACATTGTTGTATAGAGACAATAAGAAGTCTACCATTTTTCTTATTATTACAAAATATTACATTACCTACAATTCTATAAGGCTCGAGTTAAGCTGCATATAAAATACTGTTCTGATCTCTTTGCAAGGGCACCCCGGTACCAGGTTCTCCCTTTTCCAGGATTTAACGGAGAGTGACTCAAACCGCCAAATGTTAGGATATTCCTTTTATTTTTTATGGAAGAGGGGGTAACGAGCAGACGGGTCATCTGATGGAAAGTGGTAACCGTAGCCCATGAACAACTGCAACTCAGAAGTCTTAAAGTATTCTTAAAGGTTTGAAGGTCGTATCGGTCTGGAAATACCGCAGACAATAACTTGTTCCACAGAGAAAGTGTCTAGAAAAACGCACAGTGGTGGAATGCCAATTATCCAAGTGAAGGGGATGAATTTATTTTCCATGTGGAACGATGATGTAAAGTTGTACACGGTATTAGTCCGTATAATTCCTCGGAGAACTCTCAGTGATATATACGATAGAGAATGCAGAGTGAGGGTATATCTCTACGTAACGCCATGGAGTCGAGCCGATCGGATAAAAGTTACCGTACTAACATCTGAATAGCAATCGATAATAATTATCGACTTTGAAGTTCTTTCACTTTGCATTTTCTATTGTTTGTATTATGAGGGGTGCTCTAAAATGATTTCAATAGAATTTAACAGTACGAATTTTGTATTTCGGTTGGGTCTCAATGATTTCATGAAAAAATTGTTCCAGTTATATATGTATGTAACTAGATATTATTATACTCCCTTGTAATCATAGTGTCAATAGTTTCAAGGGTATTTAATTTTACAATTATATGTGGATGAAATCACAGTATTTTAAAGAGAATTTAACTGTAAAAATATATGTGGAGGGAATCACAACGATTTAAAAATAATTTTATGTTAGGACTCCATGTGGTCGGATTTAAAATATTTTCTATAATACCATGTACTAATCATGTTTTAATGACTGTGTTTTTTTTTCGAAGGGCGTGTAATTGTTTTTCTTATTTTGAACTCCTACACATTTAGTCTGTTATGACAACATATGAAAACCACATATATATGTTTATTAACTATGATTATTTACACAATAATATTGTTAAAACAAGCACACAAACAGCCTTTTTTTTTTTTTTTTTTTTCCGTGCGGAAATCCCCTCGGATACCACCTGTCGGTGGCATGTCGGACTCGAACCGACTAAAACCGCACGGTACTAATAGCCGGGGAACCAGGTATACTCTAGAAAGGAAGTCCCTGGTGCCCCGACATACCTCGGGTCATCTACAGACGAGTAGACGACCCCCCCCCCGTGTGGGAACCCCATGTTCCCTGTGCTCCCTGGAAGCGAGCGCGCTTCGCAACGCGCTCGCCGCCACCCCGGCCTGCTTCTGCTAGGGTGACAGATGGCCTCACCTGTCACCCGCAGGCCTGCGCTTATGGAGGAGGAGCGCGCCGGAGGTCGTTCTGCGACCTCCGGCGCCTGAGTCGCCTGCGCTGCCTGACCCGTGCCCGGGCCTGGCGGGCCGGGAGAGTTCTAAACCTCTCCCGGTCCCGCTCCGCCGTCTCCTTCGCGAGCATAACTTGCTCGCAGAAGGAGACGGCAGAGTTCCACGCACTCTCGCTCCGCACGATAGCCGCAATCAGGCTATCGAGTGAGAGAACTCCCACTCCGATGGCCGCCACGAGGTCTCGCCTCTGCTCAACCCACGCCG